TTTGCTAAAAGAAACTCCATCGTGCAGCGAGTCAAGCTCAACTTGTCCGGGCTCTGCGCTGCAACCCACAAGGAGATTTATCGGTTTGTTTTAGCCCTGCGCTGGCTGTTTAGATAAGAGGAGCTGGTAATAGCTCCTCTCAGAGAGAGAGGTCATTTATAAAGCGAGCATCCTGGCCATTGATGGGTTTATATGTTCGGTTATAAACGTAGCTTTTGAAAGCAGGGGTTAGTTTTTAATCTCTGGTTTTCCTTGGAATTTGAAATCAGTATTGACCTTTCAATTCTGCTTTGCTGTTGGGCTGTTAGAGCCAAAAGCTGCCTCTGGCAAGCTCCTTTCCTTTTCTTTTTTAAAGAGAAAAAAAAAATGAAAGAAATCCATTTCCATTCTTTTCTCTATTCTAAACTATGGAAAGCCAGCAGATGCAAATGCAGGAACGACTCGACCCTGACGCCTGTGCACCCTTCAGGCAGTCCAGCCACGAGTGAAAACATTCGCCTCTCGGGAGGCACAATATAATTTTTCTCCACAGTCCAGGGTCCAGACAGCTACATGTTTTTTCGCCCCTTCTTTCTCTTCAGGAGCGGAATTAGCGCTCTGAGTCAGCTGATGCACAGGCTAATTCAACTACCATTTTTAGCGGCAGATCCTGTTTCAGTGCTGGCTTCAAGGGAGACTTCTGCATTATATTAGCTGGAAATTCACTCGAATCCTGATGCTGAGGTGAAATCCCTTCATCCTTGCACCGCCCTCCGCTTTCTGAGCACAAAGGATGTGATTTTTATCAAACCACATCTGGTGAGTGTCCCAGTTTGAATGGGTACTGCTCAGTATTCCCAGGGATCCCTTTGCAGTTCAACTACTGCACTGACTACTGAACTACTGAACTACTGAACTACCCTCTCCCAAAAAAAAGCAGTGCCAAAGCAGGACAGAAGAAACAAAATCTTAGCTAAAAATTTCAAAGGACCATTGGACAGTGAGTACTGGGCTGTACTAAAGTGTGGCCGGCTTTGCAGGTTCAAAGGATGGGGCAGCCACCATGAAACCAGAGCTTAATTCTGGGGAAAAGCCTGGGCTCCTCATCTGCGCTTCCATTAAATCCTGCCGCGGTAAAACAAAATAATAATTAAAGATTAACACAGTATTAGCAAGACTTTCCTTGGCAGATGGTTTGGAGTGCTGCTCCTTCTCAAAAAGGATTTGGAGGATAAGCTTAGTCCTGAGCATTGCACCTGGCTGCTGTGCTGGGTGCGGGCTGAGCCGAAAGCCAGCTCCGCAGCACAGTCTATTAGAAGCTGGGCTTAAAGCCTGGCTGTGACCTCTTGTGTCTCTTTTTCCATGAGAGATTCAATCCCCAGCTTTGCAGCAAACACAAAAAGCTGGTGACTAGAGAGAGGGACTCTTGTGGGGAGGGCAGAGAGACAAGCATCCCCTCTGGGCCCCTCGGCTGCTTTTCTTGTCTATCTGCCCAGGGCAGAATGGCGCCAAGTTGATGAAATATCAATTTAGGCCGAACAACAGTGGCTGGAAACATCATCAAGGCATGTGATGATGATCAGAAGGGGCTGGTCTATGGTCCAGGCTAGCAGAAACACGTAGCCTCCAGAGAAAAGCCCGCAAGCAGGCTGCCCTCCGCCGCAAAGAGACGCTTTCGGTGTCTGCACCAACGATGCTTGAGCACGTGTTTGATCGGGAGCTGAAATTGTTGGCCAAACTGGAAGTCAAGATAAGGTCCTTGGCCAAACTGAAGCCATAGGTTTCTGCAAAAGCCATATGCTTCCTCTGGCTGAAAGTCCTCGAGTTGCAACCGAAGGATCTGTGCTCGTGGTGCCTATTTCCAGCACAGAAGCACCTTCCAGTCTCTTGCCATTGTACGGGGCAAAATAAAATGCTGATAGGGGAGACTCTAATTTGGCTTTTCGAACACTTCTGTGCATCTCTCGGGGTTATAGCCCTGCCATTAGGTACCCGGGCTCCTTTTGCTCCTGTGTTTCTTCCCGTTCTCTGGGAAGGGGCCCTGGGAAGTGTTAAAGGGCTGCTTGTTCCTGTCCTGAACCCATCCCTGTCTAATCAGTGCAGGGGATTCCATGTGTCTGCTTTCTTCCCAGGTTTTGTGGGTGTAGGAGGGTTACTGACTATACACCCTAATCCCAGAAATTCTGTGGGGAGAGGAGCTCATTGTGATTCCCCCATGTGGCTCTTCCTCACCTTTGATCTTTATTTTTGGGTGCAAAAAGCAAACCTCTTCAGGGTTCCGAGAGCCACATGGAGTGGTTTTCCATAGTGGTTTTCCATACAGTTTTCCAAAACTCCAACATTTGCCGTCCTTTGCCTCTCAGCAAAGGGCCAGGCTGCCGAGGGGGGTCACGGATGCCGCGCGCTTTTCCCGGGAAATGTGGCATGCACATTTCCCGGGAGCTGCCGTTTGCTCTCAGGTCATGCAGGTGGGGAGAGGTGCAGTGCAGGGGCTCATGCACAGCAGGTGACAGGACACCGTCGTGCCAAGGAGCAAAGGAAAACCCGCTCCACGCTATCTTGGTGTCTGCCAGGCTCGGGGAGGGCAGCCGCATGCAGTGCCGGGCTGGAGAGGGAATCACGGATGTGCGCTGTTCTGTGAGGGGTTGTTTCTGCTTTACCTGACAGTAATCTTTTCTCAAGGGGTGGCTGCTGCATTGCTTTCTCAGCTGCTGTTGAAGGAAAAAGTGTGTGAGTTTGACTTTGAAGTTGTATTTTCCCTCCGATGCAAACATTGCTTGACAATATGATGAAGTACAAAAGGATTAACCCCCGCTCGGTACTTACGTGGCTTCAAGCATTTGCTAACACATTCAGCTTCGGTCTCAAATCTATTGGCATTACCACCGCAGCCACCATACCAACCCTGGCTGCAGATCTTGTGTTTGTAGTCAAAGAACCACACAACCTGATAGTCCTTGCACTGCATGCCCATGTCATAGTCCAGCAAGCAAGGGTCTGGCAAATCTGTGTTGCAAAATGCGCAAAGGTCAAATGAGTCTGCAAGGGTTAAGAGCTCAAAAGGCAAAGAGATTCAGCAAAACGAAACAAAACAAGAAAAAACAAGCATTCAAAAATGTTGGGAACTCAAGGGTTGGGTCAAGCCTTTGCAGTTGACTTGGGCCACCCCCCTGTTTCCTTGCTTTTCTATATACAAGCCTTTCCCCGCTCTTGGTTTCATTGCTCCTCCAAACCCGCAGCCCTTGAGCCGGAGCAGCGGGAGCCTCTTTCTCCAGTCACTGGTCGGGCCCTCAGACATTTGCCCCTGTCTCTTTCAAAGCTATTTGTTTTGGCGTTGACTTTAATTTTTTGAGTGTGTTTAGTTTTAAAGGCAAGCCACACCTGGTGGATTATAAATGCCTTAGCGAGGATTTAAACATATGTTCCTTTTTTGGCTAGAAATGATAACTTAGGACCAGATCCCAGTATTTTTATTAGGAAAGCAAGGCCGTCTGTGCTAGTAGCGGCTTTGCCTATATAAGGACTGCTGAATTTGGGGCTTCCTTGGAGCTATGTGGGAAGATTTATGTGCAGTCCTCCTTCCTAAGGCAGAGCATTCGCACAGAAGGCTGGAGAGGACTCAGTTAAACAAGCCCTGCAAATCCCCTGCTCTGCTTAATGCCTTTGGTCTGCCGAAGGACTCCAGAGGAGCGAGGCCCGCCGACCTCGGAGGCCCCGGGCAGCGTTTTCCCCACACTGCCAGGAATTCTTGGGCAGAGAAGCTCGCAGTAAATGGGTCACGATACCCACCCCTCTCCTAGGAGCAGAGCTGTCGATATCTGCATTTACATTTAAACCCCAGGTTCGGTGTGCTTGCAGTCAGCTACCTAGGGGGTTTTGGAGCAGCTTTGTTCCTTGTTGCCCTCAGAGTGCACGGTGTGTCCCCCTCTGCTTGGTCAGACTGACCTACATAACACTGCAATGCTGATGGGTCAAAGCCAAGAGGGTGGTTTTCATCTTTGGGAGACAATCCAGGTGGTGGAAGAGAAGAAATCTATGCAGCACGAGTGGAAGCATGGAAAGGGTGGGATGTTGCAAGTGCAGAAGAGAGGAATGGTCCAGAGCATCACAGTGATGATGAGGCATGCAACAAGGCAGAGAAATGAAACATTCCTTCCTGGTGACAGCCCTGCGGCCTGTCCATGGCAGCCAACCCCACCGGTGTCCACAGGAGGCTGCGACAGCCTGGCCTGAGCTCCACGCTCTTCCCATTCAGTATGAATGTCCAGATCCCAGTGGCTGCTCCAGAGTTCTTACCATAGTCCAAAGCATTTAACACCATCTTTCCACACTGCTGAATCTCCTTACAAAGAAAATGAGCTATGATGGAACCAAACAGGCTTAAAAAAGAGCCTACAGGACTGACCATTTGGAGGACAAGGTTTGTATGCCAGATCCATCCCCTGTGCCAGCAATAGGATGCTGCTTTATCAAGGCTGGACACCCCTCCACATTTGTGGAAGAAGGAATACAGCCCAGCACTTACAGTACAAATGACTGTAACAGTATTGATATAATGAGCTTGGCATCGATGAAAGTGATGAGATGAGGTATTAACAGCTACAATGATTGTGGGTTACTAAAAAAGGTTAATGTGATGAGCGATAGAGTAGGATCTGACAGCTTGCTCGTTAATGTTTGTTTTGATAAGCCATTGATGCAGAGAAAAAAAAAAAAAGAAAGATGACTGGGCTTAAACTAGCGCGAGAGACTATAATTTAGTTGATTTGTACTCCGCTGTTCAACACTGGATCCCCTGTTCTCCTTTTACTGTTGGACAAACCATTGGTTAGAGCTCCGTGTTAACCCCAGACCCAGTCTCTGCCCCAAATCAGGAGAGACTGAGCAAACAAGCATCAGGTGATGCTCAGCTATATCTACACCTAGGTCAGCTGGGGTGGGTACTGTGGGGTGTTGAGTGTCTCTGTCAGGGGAGAGAACAGCATGTGCTTTAGCCCTAACTCAGCTTTTTCCTGTGACAGAAATGGGATCCAACCCAAGTCCCCTGTGAAGCTTACGGTGACTTCGGGGAGCTCTGGATCAGGCAGAGGACCTAGATCCCCCCACAAGCTCTGCAAAGGTAGGAGGCTCTGCAAAGTGAAGGACTGGGTTGTTGCAGCTTCTCTGATCCTAGCGGGGCTATTCCTGCTCTGGGTTTGTGGAGGGGGCGATGGGAAGACTGGTGCAAATGGCCAGGCCCCTGGCAGGACTCGTGCTGTGGTGCACGTGTGTTTCCGTGCTCGCGCCGGTACTCACCGCCTTCCGGCCCTTCCAGCGGCTCCGTGTTGAGCATCATGTTGTCCAGGGCTACCTTGGCCTGTGGCAGGGTCTCTGTGGGAGCAGAAACAGCGGTCAGCCAAAGGGAAAAGGAGCTTGCAGCAAAGCTCTGGGTGAGCTCCACCACCATCAGGCAGGAGTCTCCAGCCAGAACACCGCCTCGGGCAGCAGCGGAGGAGGCCGCGCCGAATAGCCAAGGCGCAGAAGTAAACAAAATCGCTGGCCCCGTTCTAGCAAGGGGGACGCAAGGCGCGCTAGCTGCAGGAGTCAGGCCTGGATCTGTTTACCCTAGCACATACGTTTCAGAAATGTTTATTGGATGCAGCTGACTCCGTGAGTAATACATGACCGCCCAGCAGCGCCAGGACAAATTCGCGTTACTCTTCCCAGCGGGCTGCTCCATTGCGCGGCCGTGCTCTTCCTTCGGTGGTGACTCCAAGGGGAGCTTCTCCTGGTCCCCCACATGAAGAGCTGCTTCCCATCACTCACAGTCACTGCCTACAACTCGGCAGTGACTGTGGAGCAGTGGCCGTGAACACTCTGTAGCTTAAATTTGTATTTGTTTCTCTGGCCTCAGAGAGAGCAGGGATTATAGAGAAAAAATATATTCTCCAGGAGAACAAGTAGGTCCTGATAGATCTAGCAGTCCATTCTCTTTTTTCCTGTGACCTTCAGGAGTTCTCCAAGTGATGCATAAAGGCCTTTTGCTGTTAGAGATGCTCCGATTGCTCTCCTACCATAATGGCCTATAGGAATTAGACCAAGTCGAGGTCTTCCCTGGTAGAAGTCCACCAGGAAGAAATGATAGAAAGGGGAACTGCACTTCATATTACATCATGCTCTGCATGATTGTATCATGTTGCATCTCACGCTTCGCATGGCAAACTAAGGCTCATCTTCCATGGGACTGTAGGGCAGGAAAGGGATGGAGCCAGCAACAGTTGGACTTGCTCTTTTGTGGTGGCAGAAGGTCATGTGTGGCTTTGGGTGACTAGTAACAGTGAAACCTAATAGTCCAGGTAGCAGCTTGTGGATATGGGTGGCTTCAGCCACAGCTGTTCCCTTTCTGGATTTGCTCCATAGGCAGTGTAATTCTTCTTGACCTCATGAGTTTCAAGTTATGGCGTGCAAATGTTACTTCTGCAAATTGATGTCTTTTCCCAACATTTTTGTGGGCCCATTTATTGCTCATGAAGGTAAGAGACTTCAAGCCTGATCCAAACCCACAGAAGTCAATGGAAAGACTCCCTGCAAGCATTGGAAGAGGCTTTGGAGTGCCAGAATAAGCCAAGCGCAGCACTGGCAGGACCAGCACAAGCTTCTCCGCACCACCTATGCCAAACTATTGAAATATTGCCTTTGTTTTATATAGCAACTTTTGCCTATGCCAAAGGGCTTGGGCACATGTGATCTCCCAAAGGATGAAACTTGCCATTTAATCCCTTCTGTATGTTTTTGTTGGATGCCATACTATGCAAAGCAGATAGGTGCTATGGAAATTGCCATCTGAAAAACAGCTTTTCTTGCTTATTTTGCAATTGGGCTGGGCTGAACTGGGCTGAATTTGTCCTGTTAAAGACCAGTTTAACTCTCATTATTAGTTACAGCAATGCCTGCTGGACCCCACCAAGACACATTGTGTAAAGCCTTCTGCACGCACAATAAGACAAATACCCCTCTGGGACTGGCTTTAATTCCACTGTAATCTGTCTTGATTTAACACCACTGAAGTGTCAACTTGCATTTGCCAAAGCAACATACTCTCCCTGTTTCACAACCAGGTCCTGCTGCTGGGCTGTAGGATGCAAGACATGCAGGAACACAGCAGAGCATTGTCAGGACCTGGACCATAGCTACCAACCGATTTCCCATCTCTAACATACTTTTTTTCCATGTTTTTCTGTCCAGCATTTTAAACCGAAAAACAAATGTTTGTTTCATTTTGTTTTCCCTGGTGGCCACTTACTTGTGCTGAATGTTCCCGTGTAGGTCACTCTGGGTTGGGATTTCTGGTAGCCGGTGATGACTACCAAATATTTCTGTCCGCTCCTGAGGCCTCCGATGATGCGCTCGGTGCCCGTCAGGTTTTGCTTCAGCACTAGCGAGTGGTCATGTGCCAAGGTGATGGTGATATCAAAAGTAAAGGAGTTGGCAGGCTCCGGGCTGACCCAGCGCAGCCTGGCACTGTTTTCGGTGACGTCGGTGATCTGGATGTCATTTGTCTTTGCTGCAATTCAAAGTAAGCACCAAGTAAGGATTTTGGAAGAGGAGAGGTCTTAAGCAAAAGATAGCTTAGTGCTGCGGGTGTTATTTTCAATTCACTGAAAAAGTCTGTCCAGAGACTGAATTTGCCTGAAAGCAATTATGGATCATTAAAAACAAATTGTGCAGAGGTGCCTGTTGGCTTTGGCATCTCGAGTGCCCAGCACCAAGTGATTTTGCTTAATAACCTGCTGCAATCTAGAAACAGGCAGAAAGCAAATCGAAGCAGACCTTTTATAATATGTGTTTATAACATGGGTGTAGAGGTGCTTTTACCCCCTTGCAAGAGCACACAGGGAGGCTCTCATGCTAACTTTGCCCATCTGGAAGAATCTCCTCATTCTCCAAGAGGCTCCCAACACTAATGAAGTGCTGAACAAACCACAACTATTATTTTACCAACCGAGAGTTCACCCAACCTCATTGTATGAATGACCATAAATAACAACATTTAGCTAAGCTGAGGTGAAAACACTGAAAGCAAAAGGACTATTCACATACCACCATGTCTTCTCCTACCACCTGCAGAGGTGGTGGCGTTTGCTGCGGTGCGGCCGCTGGCTTTGGCCTGGGCCCCGGTGCTGGCTTTGGCCTGGGCCACAGTGCTGGCTTTGGCCTGGGCCGTGGTGCTGGTCGTGGTCTGTGGGGTGGTGCTGGCCTGGGCCGTGGTGCTTGTGGGGCTGCGGGTGGAGGCTCTGGTCTGGGCAGTGGTGCTCGCAGCCGTGGTGCTTTTGGCACGGGTGTTTGCAGCAGGCTTCACGCTGGCACTGACTGGGGTGCTGGCACTTGTCGTTCTGCTTAGAGTGGCGTCGGGAGCCACGTACCTGAAAGAGTAGGACCCGTTGTATGTTAGGTCCTGCAGGCGAAAGCAAAGTTCCTGGTGCTGCAAGTGGGGAAAGTCCCAAACTACTTAGTCATTTCTGGAATTCTTGACCTGAGTGATGACAGCAGCAGCTGCTTCCTTCATACCTTTAATGCATCTTTAAATACAAAATTAGAAGCAAAATCATATGTGTGCTTATCTACCTCTAGAAAAGAGATTTGTTGCTCCTTTGGTACAACATTAAAGAAATGGGCAGCAGGCTGATAATCCTGATTATGATTGAAGCAGCTTTTTCCTTTTTCTTTTTTTTTTTTTCTCTTCCCAAATGGAAATTCAGAAATGAATGTTCTGCCCTAGGTAGCCTTCCAGCAAAGCTCCTCCTCCCATCGACCAGCCGGTACTTACACTGCTTTGTGCCCAGTGTGACTGTGGTTCTTGGCTAGCTGGTCACCCTGGAACCACTCGCACTGTTTCTTGATCTCCGGAGGCAGGTAGAAAGCAGAATCACCTACAGACAGGAGAGCCTGGCATTAAACAGCGCCTTTGAGGATGGAAGCTGCTTATCAACGCTGCCTTACATATAGTCCATCTTAATTAAAAACATTCCCCTCTCTCTGCTTGCTCTGTTCAAGACTGTGTCAAATCTCTTGAAATTTGATGCGGTTCCTGCAGCATCCAAGGATGGGAGATTTGTTATTCCAGTGTATAAACACGAGAGCAGTAACTGCAGCAAGGGGTATATACATCTTAGTCTGCCCCATGTAAACAGCATCCTTATAAAAAAGTACTTGTAATCACACAGTTAAGAGTATTTTCCAGTAGTTAGACATTTCCAGGAGTAAAGAGGGGAAAAATGCAGAAACTTAAACATAGGAAAGATATGCAGATGTTTGCTTCCTATTCCACTGGAAGATACTTCTGAACCAGTGCTTTGTTAGCCCAGTGGATTGATCATCGAGGCTTTTTTGATAAAAACTAGTTTTCCTAGTAAAGGTCCATTTCTTGTCCCTCCTGGCTAGACCTGTTTAGGATATCTGCTAACTAGCTTTAGCTGGAGATGTGTCTTGAGATCTCTAGTTAAGCTGAGGTATGAATTTTCCACATATGAAATATGTAGGTGCACCTCAAACATAGCAATGTTATTTATCTTTGAACAAAGACTCTTGTCTCTCTGGTTCATAGATCTGAATACAGCAACTTCAGATCTCTGTCCGAGCAGGGCAAATGTCTGCTAGACAAAATGCTTATGATGAAGTTCGGAAGAAAGATCTACTGCGTGTTCAGGAGGCTCTGTGTCAGCCTTAGCCTGGTATTTGCACTTCAGATTGCCAAGTGTCCCAGCACAAGCAGACCCAATGGAATACAACATCTTGTGTGTAGCTGTGCTACTGGCTGACCACACTCACGTCAAGTCAGTGAGACCAGAGAGATAAGTCAGATGGATAGACGTGCAGAATCTACTTGATGGACCAACTGACTAAAAGGCTAGGAGGACAGGGAGACTAAAGAGAAGGGCAAATTCAAGTACACAGACCTATGAGAAGTAACTGACCACACAGTACGGATTTCATAAAAAGAAACTGGACAAAAAGGCCACTTTAGTGGGACCTGCTGGTCAAAGGAGGTGATCAGGCCAGAGCACACTCAGCAAACAGTCAGCTAGATCAACCCTATCAGACTAACTGTATTGATATAATATGTTGCCACTTT